TTCCAGGTAACAGAAAAACTAATTCACCGCCAAGAGAAAAACACAGAATAGACTATAGAGATTGACAGGTGATCCAGATATTGCAGTTATCAAACACAGGGTTTAAAATAACCATGACTATTCCATGTAATAAGATGGAAGAAAATATAAAGAATTGCATAGAGAACCAAAACCCATTAAAAGAATAAAATAAAAACCTGGCACCAAAAATTAAAATAACTGAAATTAAGTATTTGATAAATTTATTTAAAAGCAGATCAAACATAGCAGAAAAGACTAGAAGTGTAAGATAAGCATGCAAAAAAACATTCAGATTAAACACGGAAAGAAAAACGAGTAGAAAATGCAGAAAACAGCAAAAGAGACATGGCACATGATGAAGATATCTGATATATGTTCAATTGTCCCAGAGAAAGAAGACACAATGGAATAGAAGTAATTTTTAAAGAGATAGTGTCTATTTTCCAAAACAGACATTAAGCCACATATTCAAGAAGGTGTATGAACCCTAACATTAATTAGGATTAATTAATATTAAGATTCATTAGGATTAATACATGGAAAACCATATGTAGGAATATCATTTGAAAACAATTGCAAGACAAAAACAGAGAGAAGAATGTTAAAGCAGCCAAAAGGAAAAATGGGTTACCTACAAAGGATAATAATATTAATTATAGATAACTTTTTTTTTTTTGAGATGGAGTTTCGCTCTTGTTACCCAGGCTGGAGTGCAATGGCACGATCTCGGCTCACCGCAACCTCCGCCTCCTGGGTTCAGGCAATTCTCCTGCCTCAGCCTCCTGAGTAGCTGGGATTACAGGCACGCACCACCATGCCCAGCTAGCTTTTTTTGTATTTTTAGTAGAGACGGGGTTTCACCATGTTGACCAGGATGGTCTCGATCTCTTGACCTCGTGATCCACCCGCCTCGGCCTCCCAAAGTGCTGGGATTACAGGCGTGAGCCACCGCGCCCGGCCATATAGATAACTTTTTAACTCAGACTATGAAAGTCAAAATGTGACGTCTTTATAACACTGAAAGAGAACATCTGGCTATCTAAAACTCTGTGCCCAGCGAAAATATCCTTCAAGCGTGAAGGCAGAACAAAGATGTTTTCAGATGAATCTGCCTGGGTTAGGAAAACAGAGACCCTCCAAATACTTTGTGTAATAAAGGGTTTTAATATAAGACCTGAGGCTTATATAAGTGTGGGAGGAGAAGGGGTGGGGCAGCTGGAAGAACAGAGTCACCAGCCACTGCAGCCAGAATGGGTGGAGTGGGCAGAACAACAAACATCGAAAGCAAAATGAAACAGCACGAACAAAGAAGATAACTTCTATAAAACAAAGCTGGAGAACTGAATAGCAAGACTTATAAAGTTAGATCAGATAAGACAGTGTGGTATTGACACAATAAAAGACAGATCATTCAATAGAATTGTAAATAGAGTCTAGAAACAGACCTGCCCACTCATAGGAAACTTTAAAGGTCTCAGCTCTGTTCACAGCTAGAATAAAGGGAATAGAAAGGTTATGAACATTTTCACGGTCTCTGAAACACATGGAACCTTGAGGTGGAGTGACAGACGCCAGTGTTCCCAGTGACATTCTCATCTCTTGTTCCCGTGTGTTCATATAGGCTGTACCTGGACAGGGTGTTAGTTCCAACTTTCAAAGCCTACTTACCTCCATTCCAGGTCAAAATAAATATACCTGGGACTCTACGGTGTTACAAAGATGGTTCAATTCCACCAGAGAGAGCATTGCAAGATCTTTGAAAATATAAATTTTGGGTGACTGTTGACTTACCTTGAAAATGGTCTGTTCTTCTAGGTGGTTACAAGGTTGGTTTGTAGTGTAAATACATCTGAAATGTGTGCTTAGGGAGAATCTTGCCTAATTCACAAAAGATTGAAGGAGACATCTTAGGAAGGAAAAGGAGAAGCAACCCAGTGGCCAATCTCTAACAATGATGCTTTTCTAGAGAAAATCACGTGGCTCTCCTTCACGTGGGCCTCTGCAATTTCAACCCTGATCCCTGGGCCAGCATTCCCCCACTTAGTGCCATAGTGTCAAAGCTGATGTTCCCGCAGCAAGAATGGTTCTGTCTTCCAGATGTCACCTTTAGTGCCCAGAGAAAGCCCTGAAGCCTCTCCATCAACACACTTGGGTTTTGATGTGCTGCCTTCATGGTTTCGCTGGGAGCTAGTTATGCAGACGGTGACCATTGCGGGGATTTTGACATTACCGAGCACTGAGCTCTGCAGGAGGAAACAGCACCCCTGATGGTTGGAGGAGCCAAAAGATGGGGCCAGAGGGAACCTTCACTGAACACTTAGCGTGTATCAAGTGCTTAGTGTTTCATGCTTTCGTCTTCATTTGATTTCTACAATTCTGTAAAGCAAGGTTTACACTTTCCATTTTGCAGAAGAACTTGAGGCAAAGAGGGGTTGAGCAGTGTGTCCAAGGTTGCCCAGTCAGTTGAAGGGTGTAAGATGTCACTAGAGTCCAGGAAGCCTGCCTCAACTGCCCTCCCAAGGAGAAGGGGAGGCAGGAGTGCTGTCTACGCAGCCTGGAGTAGAGTGGGGTCTCTCCCACTAAGTTCTCTCCCAAAACTTAGTTCATGTTTATAGCATGTCCTTCACCAGGCTGCTTTCTTTCCTGCTTCTCAGTCTTTGTCACAGAATTTCACCATGTGACACAACTTCCCCTCACAGCATTAAGGTAGAAAATATTTTTCTACGTATTCTATGCCAGTTTCTGTACTAGAATACAGAAATAAACAACAAAGGGCACATCCTGATCCTCAATCAGTGCCTCTTAAACCACCAACTTTCCATCCATGCTTCTGGGTCTTTCCCTAGAACGTCTTCCCCAGATGCTCCTGCTCATGTGGCTTCTTCCCTTTCCTACTTCCTGTGACCCTGGGAGTTGGGTCCTTGCAGTGTGGTAGCCAACAAGGCATGGCTGAAGGGCTTTTGAGTTGTGCTCACAAAAAAAATGTGGCATAGAGGTGAAACATTTGGGCTATGGAGATGAACAGCCTGGGTTCAAATCCAGGCTCTGCATATGCTAGCACGTTGTGCTTCAGTTTCCCCGCCTGTAAGATGGAGATGTAGCAGGGCTTCCTCTCATGACTGTTGGAAATAGTTAAGTTTATTGACATCTGTCAACTGCTTTTCATGGTGTCTGGCATGCAGTGAACACAAGGCATGTCTCAACAGTGTATTCCCTAGGCAGCACTGGGTGCAGAAGACGAAGCCTTGAAGGGTTGGTCCATACCTCCATGACAACTAATGAATATCTTTAGACCACTAACTACATTGGTCTCAATCAAGTGCCGCTTTCTCAGAAGAGATGACAGGGAGAGATCTTTCAGTTGCAGTTTTCTTTAATCAAGAGGAATGAATGTAGATGCATTGCAGCCTTGGGCTTAAATCCAGCTTCGCCACTGAGCAATCCACTTTGTCACCATCAGAGAGAGGGGCCAGCTGCCCCTTCCTATGCACCATATAGACTTTCTCGGGCATATTCTTGACCACAAAGACCTTGTCCTTGCTGCTGTCAAACAGTACATATTTTACGTACTGGTTTTGTTTACTGCCGGATTTTCTGCTAGAATGTAAGCCCCCTGGAGGCAGGACCTATCATGTGTTTTGTTCACTGCTGCATTCCCAATGCCTACCATAGGAGGCATTTAATAAATCTGTGTTGAAGCAGTGGATGCATGTGCTCCGATAGCCCTGCATGCAGCATGGTCAGTGGTCGAATGGACGTCACGGTGCCATCCTGGCTGGCCCTTACCCTGGCCTCACCCTACTCATTTTTATCTATGCCCAACTGACAGATGACTTCCTCATCACTACTTTGTTCACATCTACAGCTGCCCACAGGCCTACAGCCACTCTCCACTGTCTACAAGATCATGCTCACTCCTACTCTGTGGGGACCCATAGCCTCCAGCTTTGGTGTTCTCTCTGATTACCTCCTGTAGCACTGCCTTCCACCATGACCCTGCCTGAACTGTCCATGGCTGCAAAGTTGGTTTTCTCTCATTTTATTGGAACATAACCTTTCCTCTCTTTAGTCATTGCCCTTGCCTATTGCATCTCTCTCCTGCCCTCTCCCAGACTGTCCTACCCTTTTCTCTTTATTTAAAACTTACCTCCTCTTCAGGATCTGAGTCTCATCTCCTTGGGGAAGGGTCAGGGGTTTCCACCACTATGACTTTCTGGGATGGCTCCTTCCTAGACACACACCACCTGTATCCTACCCTGCTGCGTGTCTGGGCACCGAGTCCATTGTAGTGATGGGTATGGCCATCCAAGTGGTACGCACATGCAGCTGGGCATCTTTTTCTGTTTCTCCACTAGTTTCAAATGAATGCCTCTTGGAGGGCTACACATGGAGAAGCAGGTCTTTCGATCTCTAATGGAGGCTCCATCGCAATTAAATATGGCCTCCAATTGACCTCGCTGACCCTGTCCTACATCCATCATCCCTCCCGGCCATGTTTGTCTTCCTGCTTTCTTTGGTCTTCATGTTGCCCTGGGCTCTGATGCTCTGTTCTTGCTGCTTGACCTTGACCTCTCTCTAGGTTGACCTATAATCATGCTGGCCCATCTGCATACCTGCTTTTCTACATGGAGTGTAGTTTGGAGCCCAGACACAGGTCCAGCCTCCTCTCGAGGGGATCTAGCCCTGATGTCTGGGCAATGACATTTTAGGACAACCTCTCTTGTCTGTACAGCCCACGTCAGCCACTGTGAAGGGAGAGGTTCGCTTACTCCTGCTGATTCCCGCTGAGCTTTTTTACTATAACCCATACGCAACGGATGCTCAGCAAATATCTACAATGGTGGCAGCAGTGGAAGACATATCCAGGGAGGCCGTAACACGAGGGTTGTTCTCCAACTTTGTAAGCACAGCTAACACCAGATCTGAGACAATTGTGAGTGAGTGGCTAGAGGCTGGCCCTCCCTTGTAAGCATTGCTTCTTAGTGTTCACAAAACCCAAGGTCAACTTTATTAGAATCTTGGCACACTGATTAGCTGGTCCGTATAGCAGCACCAGGATGCAGGCTGGTGCTGGCCAATCTGTTTGGTCCAGGGTGAGATAAGATACCCTCTGGCTTCCCACCACAGTTACCCTGCAACTGGGTTGACAATTTTTCCCAGGAAGAGTAAGCTCTGGGTGGTCACCTCCCAAAGGAGCAAGAGGAAAGGCCTGTTGAAGTGAGCATGTGGGGCCGACGTGGCGTTCAGAGATGGGGGCTGGGAGAGGAGGCCTGAAGCAGCCCCTGCCTCAGTTCCCTTCTCACTCATGTCCACCATCGCCTTGTGTGACACCTAGAGGACAAGAGGAGACAGAGACAGCATCAGTTCGAGGGCCTTCAAGGGGAAGACACCACCTTCTGCAGCACGGGGAGACGGAGAGAGAGTCACCCCATTATGGCCCCTCAGGCCCTACCATCCTAGGAAGAAACTGCAGCCTTTATTCCACCTCTCCCTTCTTTCCATGTTCCCCCTCCATCCTGAGGGTTTACACTGACAGCACCCACGACTCTTTAATGGGGAGACAAAAGAGCCTGCGCCAGAGGGCTGCTAAATAGCCACCAGGTTGCAAAACCCAACAGGGACTTTTAGGAGCATCTCTCCAGCCCCTGGGTGTGCTCGTGGCCCAGGCCTGTTGTCATCTCTGCTATCAGCTCCACGTAACCTTTCTAGCCTCAATTTTCTCAACTATAAAATGGCTCACTCAGCTTAAGTCAATAGTGTTCAGAAAGTGCTCAGCATGTCTGATGTGCCAAGCCTCCTACCAGCCTCTGTGCAAGAAACTTCCTTTTTAAATCCTCATTTGCACTCTAATTCCAAGGAAGAAAGTATTTTGAGGCTTTGAAAAAAGTGAAGAAAACATTGGCCTTGATGATCCCTTTCATTGAACGAAAAAGCTATATGAAAAGATAGATCTAGCATTTAAGGTCAGTGTGAAAAAATTTCTTTAAAAAGCTAGGCTGGGTACAGTGGCTCTCGCCTGTAATCCCAGCACTTCGGGAGGCTGAGGCGGGTAGATCATCTCAGGTCAGGAATTCAGGACCAGCCTGGTCAACATGATGAAACCCCATCTCTACTAAGAATATAAAAAATTAGCCGGGCATGGTGGCAGGCATTTGTAATCCCAGCTACTTGGGAGGCTGAGGCAGGAGAATCGCTTGAACCTGGGAGGAGGAGGTTGCAGTGAGCCGAGATTGCACCACTGCACTCCAGCCTGGGTGACAAGAGAGAAATTCTGTCTCAAAAAAAAAGCTAAACTACTTTTTTTCCTTTCTTGTTAACTCTCCAACACACACATGAACACAAGCACACATGAATGCCTGCACACATGCACACTTGCACATGTACACAAGTATATGCATGCCTGAACACACATGCACACGCACATGCATGCCTGCACACACATGCACACACATGTGTGTACATGCACACAGGACCATGTCCCCGTTGCCTTGGGTGCTCTTTCACCCCTCAGCTGATCTTTTCCAAATAAAAGACAGAATAACTTCCTTATGAAGTTCCTAACAAAGACTCAAATGGTAATGCATAACTCTATCCTAAAACAAAGATGACAGCTGAAGATTAGGGAAGGGCCTTTGTGTCTTCCTTTCCATGGAGAAATACATTGTTATTCCCAAATATAAACCCTCCCATCCCATTAGAGGGTTATCAGTCCTTGGCTATTCCACAAGACTGGCAGTGCCTCCTGGAGGGGGAGACAATCTGGACTTTGGGACTAGCTTCAGCTGATGGCATGTGAGTGCCTATGGCACAGGCTGTGTGTGGGGCAAGCTTTTAGAGCCATTCACACATCTTCTTTTGCTTCCCCCCTGCCATGAAAATGGTTTGCCCCAAATAGGGGCTTCTTTAACCTACATCCTGGAAGGGAGAAGACATGTGCAGCAGCCCTGTGACTGAAGGCAGTGACCTGCTTCTGACAGGTAATATGATCAGGAAATAAGCATTTGTTATAGTAAGGCACTGCGATTCTGGGACATTTTGTTACTGCAGCAAAGCTGACTGAGGCACCTCTAGTTTAGACCTCATTACCCTCTAGAGCTATAACAAAGGCAGACAGAGTTTCACTGCTGCTCTGGGAGGAGGTATCAGGAATCAAAATAAAGCTATCCAACACCTGGGGAAATTCTGGCTCCATGGATGACCCCAAATGACCACCGATTCTATTTAGAACCCTGAAGAATAGAAGGGACCTAGAGAAAGGGAGATAGAGAAGGAGCTGTCCACCAAGAGATGCCTTAAAGACTGTGGTGTTAAATAGTCTGCATAAGAAAAAGAACAGGGAACTTGACTTTTAAATGTCCTGTATGCCAAAGGAGAGACCTCCTCCCTGCCCCCACTGGCTCACACACATCCATATTCACCACTTTACCCTGGAGATGGTTTTGTTGAGCTGCCCAGTGACTCCTGAGAAGTCAGCTTCTAAGTTGAGTATGTTGATGAGACCAATTTGGGGAAGTATGTCTTCCAGGTTATATGTTCCAGAAACCGAAAACCTTGGCAAGTGCAAATCCAACAGACTGGAGAGAGAATCAGACAGAGAAATGGTGCTCTCTTATTATACATGCTGCTCTTGCCCTGTCTATTGGCAACCTCTGCTGTGGGAGGGAGAGGCATTTCCCAGTGTAAAGGGCAATCAGTCTTCCCATGACACTATTTGCTATGACGGACCATTCTGCCACCCACACCCACAGCTCTCTTCCCTTTGGACCACATGGAATATCTTGTGTCTGGATCTGAAAAGGCTCCAGGCACAGCTACATGTCTTTCTCATCCTCATCACATTTATAGAGGGCTTTCTAGGTGTCAGATATTGGCAATGTTTCTTCAAGGCTGAGCAGATGGAATCCACGTCGCGACCATATAAGGTAAATACTTGTCAACATCTTCCCACTTTCATATCTGATGAATCAGCAAGTTCTGTTGGCTCAGTTTTTGCACTATGTCCTAAATCCACCTCCTGGCATCCCCCAGTGCAAGCAGCCATCATCTCTCTCCCTTCGCCGCTTCAGGTTCCTCATGTGTTAAATGGCATAGTGATGCCCCCTCCTTGGGGCTGTTGTGAGGATCTGATGGGAGATGGTGTATGTCAGGCACAGGGCACAAACGAACTCTCCCTCCTGTGTTTGGGACACCTTTACCATCTGATTGCCACATTCCCTGGGTTAAGTTCAGAAATTTCTTTGCACCCACAGCAATTCTGCCCTTTTATTTCTGGTGTTATCTTTTTAATTATGGTTTGGCAGCTACCCAGACACTGGAAAGCATGACTAGCTCATAATCAACTTGAACACTTCTGCCTCAGAAAATCAAATTCATGTTAGAGAATTGTGGCTAGTTTGACTTTGGGCAATATGAGGGTCCGATGCCTAGTTGAAGTGGGAGGACACCTTGGGCTACTTGACAAGTTTCCCACAGGTAGTACTTGGGTGGGAAGCCCCAGCCAGTGGGTTGGGGGGTGGAATAGAGTCTAGTAGGGCAGGGGTCTGACAGAGAACCCAAAACAGTGGGTGTTCAACATGTGAATGAATACATACATGAATGGTGTGCCAGCAAGCGCAGTTCCCCTTGGCAAGCCAACCTGCCTCACATCTGAGTGGAGTGAAACATGGCAGAGTCCAAAGTTCTTATACCTAAAAGCCCATAAAAATGGCTACTAAGGTACTGTAAGTCTCTGGCACAAGAAACATCTGAGATTTAGAGGAGTAACTTGGATCAGTCTTGCTTTTAGAATGTCCAAGTGGGAAGAAGCCAAACCAAACTCTCCCTGAGGGAGAATCTACTAGTCTAGAAGAGTCTATGGCACTTCCTTCTGTAACGGGGGCAAGGAGAAGTCTCACCCCAAAGGAGCCAGGGACTATGGGGCTGAAGTTAGCAACTGACCAGAGCCGTGTAGCTTCATAGACAATAGGAATAATCCCTTCAATCCTGACCTCTCCCCTTGGCCTGTGTCTCTTATTTGGTGCTTTAATCTTTGCCCAAACACAAAACGCCTTCTCTATCCCTGGTGCCTCAGTGTGAATGGGGTGCTGAGAGAAGCCACCTGTGAGTTGTGGGGTGACTGGTACCTACCAGGTTGTGGTGGATTCAAGATGGCCATCAAAAGTGGCATCTGTGCACCCTGCCCTTGAATCTGGGTGGGCTCTGCAACTGGCAGAAGTGCCACTGTGCTGATTTCTGGGCGTAGGCCTTAACAGAAGTATTCTGTCTTGGAGACCCTAGTCGCATATACCAATATTAACTATGCTGAGCTACTGAACCTGAGCTAGACTCATGGAGACACTACATGCAGAGAGCGAGAGATGCTTCCCAGCCTTAGTCTCTTTCAGCCAGCCCAGCACAGGCGCCAGGCACACGAGTGAAGAGAGCTCAGTGACTTCAGCTGTAGCTACCATCCACCCCAACACAAGAAAACTGCCCAGCTGCGCCCAGTTAACTCACAGAACCAAGGAAGCGATCGTCTCAAGTCATTCAGTTTTGGGGTGGCTTGTTAGACAGCAAGAATAACTAGAACTCAGTACCAGATTTCATCTCAGAGTACCTCACAAAAGGAGATGCACCCCCAAGAAGGTGTTAGCTGGTGAAGGCGGTCTAGGGAAACTAGGAAAAGCTGAAGTTGCTGTGATAAAACTACAAACCGAAAAGCAGGTGAGACGGGAATTAGTTTAGAGATCACATAAAATAGGAACTTTCATGTTTCCAGTGTTCTTAAGATTTAATTTTAATATATGTTTTAAATAAAACAGAAGCACCCTTTAACAATATAATGATAGGGGTAACTTTTTATGAGATAGGATCTGGCTTTGTTGCCCAGACTGGAGTGCAGTGGCACAATCATAGCTCACTATCTCCTCGAATTCCTGGGCTCAGGTGACCCCCTTGCCTCGGCCTCCTGGGTGATTGGGACTATAGGCATGGGCCGACATGCCTGGCTATTTTTTTTTCTTTTTTTCATTTTGTGTAGAGGCAGGGTCTGGCTATGTTGCCCAAACTGGTCTCAAACTCCTGGCCTCAAGCAATCCTCCCACCTTGGCCTCCCAAAGCACTGGGATTATAGGTGTGAGCTGCTGCAGCTGGCCATGATTGTTCTTAACCATCTTTGATCTGATTTTTTGGCTGCACTTAACCACCTTCTGGTAGTAAATTGTTATGAGGGGAGAGAGGAAAGCAAGAGGAAAGGCGATGGGGACCAGACAGACACCAGGAAGGTGTAATAGCAATCAGTGCCTGGTGAGCACTTCTTACGCTCCATGTACCAGTCTATGTTCTTTTAATGAATCCTCTGAGCAACCCAATGAGGCAGGTATCATGTCCTTAGTTTTACAGTACAGGCCCAGAAGAGGTGAGAAAATTGCCAAGATCACACAGTTAGTAAAGGACAAGATGGTGAGCCTAATCAAGACGTTGGGCTTTTGCAGCTGAAGTTGATCAAGACCTGCCAGGGTTCTTGAGCAAGATCAGCCAGCATCCTTCTGCTGTGACTCTTACCTGGGCAGGAACAATTGGCCCCATTTTCTCAGGATCTCTGGCTGCAGAGCGGCCTCCACCTGCTTCATTTTCCCTGGGTCAGGGAGGACCAGCAGGGCCAGGGCATTTCCACTGTATTCAATCTGGAGGACGGTGCAAGCCAATTCCTGGTCATAGAGGAATCTGTGCATTTCCTTTTGGTGCATCATGGACACCTGGAGAGAGGTCCTCTCATCCACGAAGAAACTTTCATGCTTCTGGATCTGGTAGCGACTGAAAGGGTGCTTCCACTTGGCTTAGGACACAAAACCCACAGGGCCATGAGAACTCTTTTCAAGAGAGCAACTCTGGGTAGACACACCCAAAACCACACTGGTTTGGTGACTTCCTCTTGGCTATGCAATTATAAGGCAAAAAAGTGGAATGGATACAGAGCCAGGAGACTAAAATTTAGGCCTGGCTCAGCTTCTGGGACAAGTCACCAATGTTTGAACACTAACAGCCTATGATTTGTTCCACTTCAGAGGAACTTAGCTTCTAAGAAGCCAAAAGGTATTTTTCCATCTACTAAGCACCTTTCATGTGTTAGATATCATCTCTTGTAATTGTCATAAAAATTAATAAAAATAAGTATTATTATTCCCATAGCAGGGATGATCAAACTGAGTCTTTGTGAATTTATTTACACATACTAATTTGCAGAGCTGGGATGACTGACTGCATAGCTCAGGTTGCTTGCAAACATTGAATTAATCCTTCTCAACCAAACTACCTTTAGACAACAACCTTCTACAGAGAAGCTCGAGAGCTTCTTCCTTCACCCACACACCCCAACTCCCTCATCTTCAAACTGAAAAAGGAAAAAGAATTCAATTAATAAAATGTTGTGCATTAGCAAAAGCCCATTAAGATGTAGTTGGAAATGAAGAATGCTGGGGTCATCGTTACATTCACACGTGTGGTATCTTCCCTCTTCTTATAAATCTGTCCCCATAAACACTGGTCTTGATAACAGAACTGGGTCATCCTGTCCTACATACCCACACCCAGTCAATGACCAAGTATTGCAGATTCTACCTCCAAAACCACAATATTATTTTCAAGGCCACCATCATACTTACTTTGGAACACTTTGAGAACCTCCCAACTTGTCTCCTTTCCCACTCTTCCTCCCTTCCAAGCCACCTTTCAAATTGCAGCCAGTTTGATCTTCCTAAAACATATATGATCCTATCACTTCACACTTAAACTCTCTGGCAATTCTAAGTTTCCCTGCATAGAGTTGGAAACCCTCAATGTGGCCCTGTTTCCCTCTACAGTGCAAAGCTTGGCTTCTTCCTATTATTCCACGATTGTGTTTGATATCCTATTCCAACTAAATTTGTTTCAGTTATTTGAAAATGCAATGGTATCTCTTTTCCCTGGACCTTTAGATATGCTGATTTTTTTTCATCATGAACCCTCTTTGCTCCACCCCTCCCAAGCTTTTTCACCTGAGTAAATACAACTCACTCTCATGTCTTAGCTTGAGTGGTTATTTTTCCAGGAAGCTTCTCAAGTCTGGATGGGTGTCTCTTTTGAGAACTCTGTGGCACTCATGCCTACGCAAGGAGAGCATCACCATCCCACTGAGTTATTTTGCATCTGTACTTACTTCCAACCCACATGGACTGTGGCTGTGCAAGGGCGGGAAGCTCTATCTTATTCATGGATTTCCCCAAGTGGTTAGCAAAGAGCCTGTTGGCTAGCTGTCTGCTGTAAGAGCATTTACATGCAGAGGAGGTGGCAATAATTTTGTCTGAGCAAGCCTCACCTTTGAAGAAGATGTAATTGGCGAGAACCATGAGCGTGTCCTGGCTGAACTCCGGGAGGCAGTCCACGACTTGCCCGTATGTTTGCCTTCTCACATAGTCATTAATCTGCCTCTCAGTTGTAACAGAATCTGTGAAGTTGGCAGAAAAAGCAAAAGCTCCATAAAGCTCCTTGATGGTGTCCAGATAGCGCTGCTGAGGCTTTAGTCGCTTGTCCAGGAACAGGGAGTTTCCTACTTTTAGTTCGAGTTTGGGGCTGGGCAGGGCAAGGGTGTGGAGGAGGCTCTGGAAGCCCTGGTGGATGTCCGCTTCTGGGGTTTCTGTGAGGTTGAATCCTAGGCCCTCCAAAATCAGAGCTGAGGCATCAGCTTGGGCCCCAAGAGAGAGCAGGGCCAGGGTGGTGGAGATGCTCACCGGTGAGAAGATGACATTTCCGGAGGTGTCTGCTGCCAGCTTTTTATACAAACGCAAAGCAAAATTGGTAATGGTGGGTGTGATTCTGTGGTAGGCGGGGGCTGGCTCTGAGAGGTGATGCCTGGGAGGTTGAGGCCCCTGCAGGCTTTTATGTCCATGGGCAGGAAGGGGCTGACAGTGGACAGAGGCCAGGATCCCTGCTCCCAGCAGCCAAAGCCAAGCTGGCCCCATTCTCTGAAAACAAGAGGGTGAACATGTCACTTTTCTTCATAAATAATGTCATGATTCTCTATTGCTTATACAACAAACCCCATCTTCACACTGTGCCCCGCAGGGCTGCCATGAGCGGCTCTGCAGAAGACAAGGCTGTGGATGATTAGGATTCTGTGATTAGGATTCTGGACACTCCACTCCAGGGAGCAGGAGAACCTGGGAGGCAGAGGTTGCAGTGAGTCGAGATCGCACCACTGCACTCCAGCCTGGGCAACAAGAGTGAAATTCTGTCTCAAAAAAAAAACAAAAACCCAACAAACAAACATACAAACAAAACAACAACAACACGACAACCACAACAAAACAACTTTCAGAGTCTAGCCTCCGTCCCTGTTTTCTTCCCTTTCTCCCTTCCTTCCTTTTTCTTTCTTCTTTCCAGTCATTCTTTCAATCATTCATTAACTTTCAAGGATCTGCCTGGTCCAAGAGGTGCACTAGGTCCTCAGTATTTAGTGGGGGAAAGAAGTAAACAAAATTTCAGATTCCCAAGAATTTAGGGTTTAATTGACACTAGCTTAGGTGACACTCAATAGCTAAATAAGCAAGTACACATGCACATGTGATGACAAATTGAGAAGCACGTGCTTGGAGCCAATGTCCTGGCCACGCTGCCAGTGATGCTAGGCCTCCCTCACCTCCAGCGTGGCTATTGACAATGATCCCGCCTACTGGAAGGGACAGGATGATGTGTAAAGCCTCCGTCAGGCCTGAAGAGTGAGAAGAATGCTATCCACCCTTCCAGTCATTCATTAGCTGGAGGGTGGATGTGAAGATCGGCCACCTGGACTTGCAGGTGAGGACAGCCCAGAAGGGACAGCAAAGCAGCAGGACTGATGGAGCCTAGAGGAGCGGCGAGAGAGATCAACTCTGTCTCCATGTCTTTGTCTAGCCTCTGATATCTGGGATGCCTCTTGTCACATGCAGAGGTTGAAACCTCTGTATTTTCTTATTGCTGCAGGGCTGTGGGGATGATACCTGTTGCGGGCTGAATTCGTATCTGCCCGAAATTCATATGCTGAAGTCTTGACACCTAGTATCTCCAGATATGATCTTTTTTGGAAATAGGGTCACTGAAGATATAATTGGTTAAGATGAGGCCATTAGCGCAGGCTCCTAATTCAATATGACTGGTGTCCTTACAAGAAGGAGAAATGTGGACACGGACAGCGCACAGGGAGAATGCCGTGTGAGGATGAAGGCAGAGATCAGAGCGATGCTTCTACAAGCCAAGGAACATGAAAGATGGCCAGCAAACCAGGAGAGAGGCAAAGCTAGGAAAGGGGCCTGGAGCAGATTCTCCCCCGCAGCCTCAGAAGGCACCAAGCCCGCCAACCTTGTTCTTGGACTTCTAGCCTCCAGAACTGTGAGCCAAAGGTTTCTGTTGTTGAAGCTGCCCAGCATGTGGTATTTATTAAGATACCCCTTGCAAACTAATGTGATATCTCTTGTGCTTTATTTTAAGTTGTAAAATGTGCCAAAAGAGCCTTTAGTCCACTACCAGGGGATCAAAGTGGTACAGGAGCAGGAAGATCTCTTGTTTTAGGGCAGGGGATGCAGCCTGAGCTGGAGGGGAGATTGCAGTGCAAACAGTGTTGTCTCTACTCACCCTGCCCTGTGTTCCATGCTCTCCTTTCCCTTTCAGTCCCATCCCCCACCCACCCTGCACACATCCTCAGGTTCTTGCAGAAGACTCACTACCACATAGCTGCTGGGGCCCTCCCAAACCTTGGTGTCCTCAGTAAGGAAGGCAGCCTTCTCTTCTCCCTTCAAATCCACCCCTCCCATCGTCCGTTCACTGTACAGCAGCCATGCACTGCTGACTACCCTTATCACTTCTCATTAGTTTGCCCTGATGACATTTGTGTCTTAACTGGCACCTTTAATAATTTTTTGCCCAAACCAATGACTTCTGGATCAATTGCAAATGCTGTGACAGTGCAAGAGAGATTATATTTTTGCAAATGGTTTATAGTCCCTGGTGCCCTAAATAATCTGCCAAACTGCAAAGGCCAGGTGTCAGGGAGGGACGAAGGTGCTCTCATTATCTGCTATGTTGAAATGCTTTTGCTGGTCAAAGTGCTGTGAGCACGGCCCCAAGGCTATTTCCTCCCTTCCTCCAGCACAGCTTAGTGTGGGCTTGCTTACTGACAGCTTCCACACACTTCAGATTTTCTTTTGACGGGAAATTTGGCAGATGCAAAACAATTTAAAAATTCCCTGCGTAAAATAAAGCGACTGTGATGAAACTATTTCTGGTTTATTCTTTCTATTCCGCTGTACCCCAAGGACTCCCTGACTTCAAAGGACCTATTTCCCAAAGAGGATTGAATTGTAAATGAGGGGGCCTTGGAATCAAGGTTGTACAGTAACTCACTGCCTGGTACTGTGCAAAGGCAAGTCTCTGAAATCAGTGTCTCCATTTACAAAATGTAAATGATATTGCCCACCTCCCAGGTGTGGGGCCATTTCAGGATTATACAACAGTCAACGTACAAAGCTCTTGGCATGTCGAAAGTACCCAGTGGTAGTTTTCTTCCTTTTCTACCAAGCCTGAGAGTAATAATGCCCAATTCTTTTCTTAATTCCTCTTCCAGAAAGATCCCAGGGGAAAATTAAGAACTGTATTCATAAAGTATAATATTTTCACTTACTAAGGGCTTATGAAGTGATGGGGATATTGCATGCATTGTAACACTGGTTCCTGACTAAGGTAGGGGGAGGGGCGTATGTAAAGCAGATAGGGGTGAGTTTTTGGGTCAGCTCAATACCTGGAGGAGGGGTGCTGCTGGAGATTAGCTGGGGAGCAGCCTGGGTTCCCGAAAGCTTTCAGAACAGTCCCATTCAGTGAAGAGTGGTCCTGCCCAAATACTGGTGGTGTCCTTTTTGAGAAACATTGCTTTGTCTTATTGAATTTAATCCTTAGGAGAACCTCAAAGCACAGGGTTTGTCAGCCCTACTGTACACAGGGGACAACTGACGCAGGGTTAGGACAAGACAGCTGGTGAGAGCAGGAGCAAGACTCAGATTCCAGACCAGAGCTCCTAAGCACCCTTTTCACAGGGCAGCTCCTAGTAAATCTGCTGCAGCATTGTTGTCATTGTGCTTTGGGTTGTATTGTTTCATTTTCTTGTCTAATGCCAGAAATATTTGGGGTTCTTCTCTCAAAACTCTTAGGGGCCAAGTTTTCCCTAAAAGATGATTGAAAACCTGAAGTCCTTCCTTGAGGACTCAGAGAGAGTACATGGTTGTATTTCTTCTTCAGGGACTTACTTCTCCCGTCCCTACCACCAAAGCCAGGAACATGCACACACACACACACACACACACACACACACACACACACATACACACACACACGCACGCACAGAGAGAGAGAAAGAAACAGAGAAAAAGAGAGAAAGAGAGAAAGAGAGAGAGAGATAGAGACAGAGATACACACAGAGAGAGAGAGAGAGAGAGAAGGGAGGGGGGCAGCTGCTGCCCCTGCCCTCATTTTAGGCACAGGCACAGTACTCACAGAGCAAAGTCACTGAACGGGGACCCGGGTCTTCAGCACTGCATCACGTCTACCCACAGGAAAATGGTGTTTGAAGATTGCAGCAACCTGGTCAATATTTGTCAGGTCAATTCTGGGAACTGGTATGAACATATGCACAGCAAACAGGAAGGGCTCTTTTTTTCCCCAAAGTATCTGCCCTGGCTGCCTGTCCCACAAACAAATGCTGGATTATGGCTTAAGCCAAGGCTCAGTTTGAGAATATTCTGATGCTAGGAGTGGGTGGTGGTGTGGTTGCTGCTGATGCCTGTATCCGTGCTTGTGATCCAAGCTGTATTCTTTTTTTTTCTTTTAAAAATTTTTTATTTTGATAGGTTTTGGGGGAACAGGTGGTATTTGGTTACGTGGGTAAGTTCTTTAGTAGTGATTTGTGAGATTTGGATGCACACATCACCCAAACAGTGTACACTGAACCTAGTATGCAGTCTTTTAATCTTCACCCACTGTGCACCCTTTCTCCCGAGTCCCTGAAGTCCGTTGTATCATTCTTATGTCTTTCTATCCTCATAGCTTAGCTCTCACTTATGAGTGAGAACACAATGTTTTGTTTTTCATTTCTGAGTTACTTCACTTAGAATAATAGTCTCAAGTTCCACCCAGGTTGCTGGGAATGCAATTAATTCATTCCTTTTTATGACTGAGTAGTATTCCATTGTATATGGAATATTACTTTATTCAGTTTCTTTATTCAGTCATTTATTGATGGGCATTTGGGTTGGTTCCACGATTTTGCAATTGCAAATTGTGCTGCTATAAACGTGCGTGAATAAACCTCTTTTAGGTACAATGACTTCTTTTCCTCTGGGTAGATACCCAGTCGTGGGATTGCTGGACCAAATGGTAGTTCTACTTTTAGTTCCTTAATTTCCACATTGTTTTCCATAGTGGTTGTACTAGTTTACATTCCCACCAGCAGTACAGAAATGCTCCCTTTCACCACATCCATGCCAACATCTATTATTATTTTTATTTTTTGATTATGGCTCTTCCTTCAGGAGTAAGGTGACATCACATTGTGGTTTTGATTTGCATTTCCCTGATCATTAGTGATGTTGCACATTTTTTCAAATGTTTGTTGGCCATTTGTATATCTTCTTTGGAGAATTGTCTATTCATATCCTTAGCCTACTTTTTGATGGAATTGTTTGTTTTTCTCCTTGCTAATTTGTTAGCGTTCTTAGTAGATTCTGGCTATTAGTCCTTTGTCAGATGTAAAGATTGTGAAGATTTTCTCCCACTCTGTAGGTTGTCTGTTTACTCTGCTGATTGTTCCCTTTGCTGTGCAAAAACTCCTTAGTTTAACTAAGTCCTACCTATTTATCTTTGTTTTTATTGCATTTGCTTTTGGGTTCTTGGTCATGAAATCCTTGCCTAAGCCAATGTCTAGATGGGTTTTTCCAATGTTATCTTCTAGAATTTTTATAGTTTCAGATATTAGATTTAAGTCCTTGATCCATCTTGAGTTGGTTTTTGTACAAAGTGAGAGATGAGGATACAGTTTCATTTTCCTACGTGTGACTAGCCAATTATCCCAGCACCATTTGTTGAAGAGGGTGCCTTTTCCCCACTTTATGTTTTTGTTTGCTTTGTTAATGATCAGTTTGCTGTAAATATTTGAGTTTATTGCTAGGTTCTCTATTCTGTTCCATTGGTCTATGTGCCTATTTTTATAGCAGTACCATGCTGTTTAGGTCACTATGGCCTTATAGTATAGTTTGAAATCAGGTAATGTGATGCCTCAAGATTTGTTCTTTTTGCTTAGTCTGGCTTTGGCTATGCAGGCTCTTTTTCAATTTCATGTGAATTTTAGTACTAGTTTTTTTTTTTTTCAGTTCTGTGAAGAATCATGGTGGTATTTGATGGGAATTGCATGAATTTGTAGATTGCTTTTTGTGATATGGTCATTTTCCGCATTATTGATTCCACCCATCTATGAGCATGGGATGTGTTTCCATTTGTGTGATTTTTTTCAGCAGTGTTTTGTTGTTTTCTTTGTAGAGATTTTTCACCTCCTTGGTTAGGTATATTCCTAAGTATTTTATTTTTTTGCAACTATTTTAAAAGAGGTCGAGTTCTTGACTTGATTCTCAGCTTGGTCACTGTTGGCGTATAGCAGGGTTACTGATTTGTGTACATTAATTTTGTATCCTGAAACTTTGCTGAATTAATCAGTTCTAGAAGATTTTTGGAGGAGTCTTTAGGGTTTTCTAGGTATACAATAATCAGCAAACAGTGACAGTTTGACTTCCTCTTTCCTGATATAAATGCCCTTTCATTCTCTTGTCTGATTGCTCTGGCAAGGACTTCCAGTACTGTGTTGAATAGAAATGGTGAGAGTGGGCATCCTTGTCTTCTTCCAGTTCTCAGAGGGAGTGCTTTCACCTTTTTTCCTTATTCAGTTTTATGTTGGCTGTAGGTTTGTCATAGACAGCCTTTATTACATTAAGATACATTATGTGCAGATTTTGCTCAGGGTTTTAATGACAAAGCAATGCTGGATTTTGTCAAATGCTTTTTCTGCATTTATTAAAATGATCATATGGTTTTTGTTTTTAATTCTGTTTATGTGGTGTATCACATTTATTGACAACCATCCCTGCATCCCTGGCATGAAATCCACTTGATCATGGTGAATTATCTTTTTAATATGTTGTTGGATTCAGTTAGCTGGCATTTTTTTTAAGGATTTTTGCATCTATGTTCATCAGGGATATTGGTCTGTAGTTTTGTTTTTGTTGCCCTCCCTCATGCTCAGTCATCCTATTCAATGCCTTCGTGGCACTTAACATAAACTGTCACAATCATGTGTATAGGTTTGGTTTTATTGTTGTTGCAGGGGGTTCTGGCTCCCCCATTTAGGCCTAATAATCCAGGAATTTTCTCTGTCTGATTTACTCCTAACGTATATTAAGTGCTCAATGAGTTTTTGCTGAGTAAATGAAGAAAAAAATCATGCAGCCTCTGAGATGTCATGGGACCACAACCCCGCCACTGAGAGTTCACCAGTAAACCACTTTCCGATTAGAACCCTGGTGACAAGTGAATTCATATTTTAGTTTTATTGAATGTGTTAATGTAATTCTGCAGTAGAGGTTCCTGGCCTGGGTTGGTGTATTTTCATTCCCAAGAGCCCCAAGGAAAGGAAATATACCAACCCAGCAACATCCCATGAAGCTAGTTCCCTGGGAGAATTTGTGGAAAAGAGCACTGACTGGGGTGAATGGGTGTTGGCTTGTGACAACAGGGGTCCCTGTTGATGGTTTGGTGATTGATCCCTGCCAGCGAATGCAGTCCCACTGGGGTCAAGTGCGCCCTCAGAACAGAAAGAGGGATGTGGTTTGTTATTTCTTGTGCATTAGAATGTGCCATCAGTCAACAGGCCATTTCCCACCTAGGGTTTAGTGGGATTTTCCACTTTCCCTAGAAAGAAAATACTGTCTATGGCTTTATTTGTAATCATCATCAGGAAGGTCCTATTGAAGGAGACAGTGAAGTAAGAGGGACCATCCTTCGATCGGACTATGAACTTGGTGGTGGTGGCTGCTGCGGCCTCAGTACCCTCCTCACTGACATCCAGCACAGCCTTGTGGGTTGCCTGCCAAGGAAAAAGCAAACGTCAGTGGCCCCAGTGGAGACATTTTACTTAACTGAGTAATCTAAAGTGTGTGTTTTGCCCTGGAGTGGTGATGTCTGCCTTGAAAAGATTCAAGGTTCAAATGCCTGGCATTGGGTTTGCTCAATACATTGCGGTGGGTGTTGACTATGGCCCATTAGCCCTTATACGTGGAGTGAGATGGTTACAAACACTGACTCACTCACAGATCCAAGTGAGTCTCAGTTCTGCCACTTATTGTTGCAAAAGTTATTTAGATGCTGCAGGCTTCAGTTTCCTGCATGTATCTCACAAGGTTATTGTGTAAATTAAAGGAGATCATACAAAGCACGTGCTCACAGACTTGCCAGCAGTAGTAATTGCTGCAGTTCTTGCGTGGCAGACATGGGTTTGTTATTACTAAGGTTAGATACCTTCTTTGTCTTCTAGGAAAGAGAGTCTTAACCTGGAATTCCTGTACTTCTAAGCTTCAAGGAGGCTTGAGCTCCTGTGACTACAGGCATTGTTTTTTGTAGGGTCACAGATGCACTTTCTGTGAGAAGTCCATTATGCTCATCATATTCCAGTGGGGACTCTCCGCATTTTCTGAAATCCAACAACAAAGGTCCCCTTCAGTGGCCCCAGGCTCACTTCTGACCATTATGATCCATTACCAAAATAAAATTTTAGGTCAGAGATCAGTAACCCATATGTGGGCAGGGGTTAGGCAAGTAACCCCCATTAACTGAGGGAGACCTCTTGTAAGAGCATGGGGTGCCCATGTTACCAGGAGGGTACCATCTGGCTAAAACGGGCACTCACAGCTCATCCCCAGTGATGGCTGCCGTGTGGAAACATGGGCTCACTGTTACCATGTGGGAATTGGACTCAGTGATTTTTTTTCAAGAGGATCAGAAATCTAGACTTTTAGATTCAATATACTCGTTTTTAAAAGTTCTCTTTCTCTCTCTCCTTACACACTGAAGGCCAGACAACACATCTACAGGATGCAGATGGTCTACGGGCAGCCAGGCTGTGATGCCTGTGTAAGCATCTAAACTTCAGGGAGGAAGAAGGTGAGGTCAGATCCTGGTGGGTCACCTGCTTGCCTGCAGCAGGCATGATGGAGCAGTTGCCTGCTGAGGATGCCTTTGGAATGTTTGTATGAAGAGGGAAAACAGATGCTGTGTGCCAGAGGGATGGTGGCCGTAAGCCACACAAGGTTTGGTTCTTCTGGCCACAGAAGAACCTCACTTCACCTTCCAGGCCTCTGTCTCCTTATCAATAAATAAGAGTGCTTGATTAATTCTGCAGGTGCTTGCAGCTTGGACTTTTTTGCAAATATTCTCATTCAACTCACTTTGGAAACCTGCAGGGAGTCTCTCTTTGTAATTCCAGAAAAATCAGCATTTTTGTCAAAGGCATTTTGGATGCCCATCTTTGGGAGGATGGCTTCCAGATTGTAGGAGGCAGAAATGGAAAATTTGGGGATGAACACCTCTATCCACC